CAAACACTATATATGATATTCCTAAAGTTTTCGCTGATTCAAAGATTTTTAGTTCACATTATTTTAAACAATACAATATACTTAAGAAACTAGTAGTTATTCATTTTAAAATTCTTTCTGTGAACTTTATAAGTGTTAAACAATTAATTACTATTTGAAATCGAAAGTGTAACAGAATTTGAACGCTATAAATATGCAAATTGCTTTGAAATCAATTAGAATCATCTTTTAACTCTCACATGTTAGTTCTATTATTAAAATTCCATTTCAATCACGTAATCACGAACTATGTCAATCAGGCATTGAACACATTGATGTTTAATACTTACAACCAAAAGTATTGACGAAAATATCTTAAGTAAGAAACTTTTTATACCTATGGATTGTAGAAAGATAATCAACAACATACACTCTTTGTCCTGGAGTAAACTAGATTAAAGTTTCATCTTTGGGTTTTTGGGGGTGTTTGGGGGATTTAATAAAAAAAAAAATAAATAAATTAGTCAAACATTATGCTAATCCTATGACATTTTGGATCGTTATATCTTCAACACCATGTTTTAACTTGAGTTTGTGTTTTTTTGGTTCACCTTAAAATTTTAATACGCCTAAACAATATGAAGTACTGTAATCCAACTAGTAATTAACACACGATATGTTCTGTGGTCTTAGTTGTTATTTAAAAAGTAAAAAATCTTCATGGCTTTTTCGATACTTGAATAGTACTTAAAATTATCCTTTTAAGTCTAGCTGTATCATATAGAAATATTTTATAGCAACTAAAAGATTTGTTACGAGTACAGTTTCATTGTACTTCGTCTAACCTACAAAGTCGTCACTGAGATATTGAAGTTGTTGATTGCTTGAGTCTTGGCTCTGTAACTGTAATAAACTGGCTTAACTTATGGGTTTAATTTGTTGCTGTCTTATTTACCGAATGATTTATGGTTAGATTTTCAATCAGTATTAGTGGGTTAAAATGGATTTATTACACAATAGTTTATTAAAATGTGTTAGTGGCGAGACTTTGAATGCATAACTTTCAGGATCATGATAAGTGTGCTGTTACATTTAATCAAATTAAATTAATTTAATTGATAGGAGTTGTCAAGTCTTTGTATTGAATTAGGAAGCTTACTAATTTGCATGTAAAATAATTACTCCATTAGTTCTTAAATTATTTCAAGAATCTAAACTATTTCAATAAAGTTTGCAAAGCTTCAACCATTACGGAAATCCTCATCAAAATTCATCAAAAACCTGCGAGTATAGCAAAAAAACTACACACACGTTAAACCGTGGAGGAAGGTTACCGGTTCCCTCTGGTATTTAATAATTGAACCAACCACAGCGAAGCAAACCTGCAACCACAAAAACCACTGATTGTTATTTTGAAAAGCTTTGGAATTGAACAACTGAAAACCACAATGATTATTGAATGGTTGGATTTAAATAATTGAACTTTAAAGTTATATCCATAATTACTCAACAATGTTGTGTGTAGAGTAAATGAATTTCATATAAATATAACTGAAATGGAACAAAATATTTTTCAACAAAACTTGAATATAAAACGTTCATGGGTACTTTGGGATTTAAATATGGATTGTATTCATTCATTATTTAAGAATATGAATATTTACAAAATTATTTTCGGTTAATGACTGCGTTATAACGCTAAAAATCCCATTCCGTGGTTCGATTCCACAAATTTATTCCCTTAAAAATGTAAGATTTATTTCCTAATATTAAATGTTAATAATTATCATGAGTAATTAGGATTGCTGATACAGGAAATACAATAAGGTGTGTGGTTTTTTTATGATATTTTTACAGCTTTATTGAAGTAAACAAATGTTCCTTATTTCATCCAAATATGTCCAAAGACAAGCAAGTTATACAAGTTTAATTGTTCTCCATAAACATAACATAGTAATTTAAATTTACACTTTTTTTGGAATTTTCACTTTGACCGTTAGGCATACTTAACAGAGCTTTAATATACCAAAATTATTTTTTTATAAGCTCTACAAAATGATTTAGAAAGAAATTGCAAAACCTAATGGGGAATATTGGAAAATCCCCATTTTTACCCCATAAAACCCCTCATAAACCCTCGTTCTCATAGTCCGATCCTACTGTCTCGAGAACTTGTTGGAATAAATATAAGTTTACACATTTATACCAAATTCCATCAAAATTGGATTATTTTTGCTTGAGTTATAGTGCTAAAGGTTACATATAACAATAAATTTATACCTATATGGATTTGAACGGAGAGTGTTTTTGGCCTCTAGGTACCTCAAAAGGAAAAAGTAATTCGGTCTCAGGTCTAGGTTACAATGAGACCTAAGGTGATAGCTTATTCCCTATATGGGAAATTCGCTAAAAAACCATCTTTCATAGCTTATTTAAATTCTTGTATTGGATTTTTAAATACAACTTGGTATTGATTATCTTTGAAATAAGTATCTTGATGCTAATTAATTTGAAATAGTGGTGTAATACATTGTTACCAGTTGTGTATGTTATCACCAAAAAGGTCTGGTTTAGAATTTATATCAGTTAGGGGTACGATTGCTACAACATTTTTTGTAACCACAGTTTAAAATAAAGAGGCAACCACATCACATGCCACAACCAACCTGGCATGTATTCAGTTAACCTGAGGTTGGCCAGAAACCACCAAATAAAGATCGGGATATTTCAAGCTGCGGCTACTGGTCAATGGCATAGCATTGGCCCTAACAATTGTACCAGTAAAAAGCTTCCATTTCAATAGCTTGAATTTTTAAATAAAATTGTTCCCATTGTAGAAAAGTGTTATTATAAATAGATGCTTTATTGAATAAATTGGGAATACTGAAAGTAAATTAATAATGGGGTCTACATCTGATGAAAATTAAATTAACTTTAAACATAACACATTATTGTATCAAAGCTACACTAAAGTCGTACATCGCAATAAAAAATAACGGTTGTATTTGAATACTCTACGTAGCTAAGCAGCCTACAGTAATTAATTTAATATCAACTTAGTAATGGGGGACAAGAGTCAATGTAATAAAAATATAATCATTGTTTACGTTCAATACTAGTTTTATAAATATTCAAATCATTAATCTGTGTGGTCTAAACTATTACAATTTTTCCTAATTTGTCATTGAATAAAAGGAAAATAAACTCTTTATTTATTTGCATACATTGAGATTTCTGTTACAGTTTATCAGAAATTCAGTGTCTTGATAAAAAATACGACTTGACCAAAGGACAGAGTCACTGAAGGAGGGTGAGTTTTGGGGGAAGATGTCAGGTTAATTGCTGATGACGTAAGAAGACGTGAGAAAACTGTGAGAGTGAGACACGTGATATACAAGAAGGACTTTGTTGTATCTGAAACGTGTTAAATATAATTTACTTCATGGTATGAAGTTAATGACATAGATTTTCCTGACTTGATTTAATAACTTAAGTAGCTCAAACAAAAGCTTAAACAAGTTAATGATACAATAGGGTTTATAAACGTTATTCGCTTTAATTTAGCAGGTAATTCTATCAGAGGTTAGTAAAACCAAGTCATTTTCAAATAACAATTCAATGTCAGCTTAAATATGTAAATTGGAATGTTTATTTCATGTTAGACTATCTATTGTCCAATTTAAGACACAAGAAAAATAATAATTTCATCAACAAAATCGTTTAATCTATTTTGACAATTAATATCAGATTCACTAAAACTTGAGATTGAACTATAATGTATATTTATAACACATGTATCAAAGTATTAAATCCAATTTAATAACAAACCTTTGGAGTGAGATTTAGGTTTCTCGACAAAACAGAAAAGTCAACACGAAACCCTGATTGTAGCCACTTCTGGGCACACAATCCTACGTGGGTAAAATATATGGTTTTCACATAAATTTTATTAGATTTTTTGCACAGAATATTGAATTAAAGAATACAATTTTTGTTTTCCTCATAAAATTCTATGGTGACATTTGCCTTACAAATAAGTATAAATTGCATTCCCAAAAGAATAAACAACGCTAATACCAAAAAATCAAGCTAGGCACTATAGTTGTTTTTCCAGACTAAGTTATTCTTAAAAAGTGTGCCAAGCTGCTACTGAAATGTTTATAAACGTTAATTACGTAGGCCAAAATAGTATGTTTCAAGGTTATATAACAAGCATATTTAATAAAAATGGCTAACTAGCTAAAAACCCGATGTATACTGGCTGACTTAATGATTGATTTTTATGAGATACTTTCCTAGATACATATTTTATTAATTATTATAATGTTGTTTAAAAACAGTGCTGTCTGATTATATAATGTTTTCTTTGATATACCATACTTAAATATATGCAGGTTAGGTGTAAGTTATATGAAATGTGAATGATCACTTATCACACCTATTTGGTGTGATTATGATTGGAGTCAATCAAAATCAATCACCAGTTACAATCTTTCATACGTATTTACCGTATTGTAAGTAAACGTGTAAATATATTGTTTTAAGTGTTATTAGATGTATTTTTGAATTTTCCAATATTTTTTTTGTTTTTTTTGTTACCGTTGTACTTTGTGAATCTTAATAACACGTACGATGCTGACCAAGAAGTTATTTACAAAAAAAGTGTAGTACTGTGATTTTGCATAACCAAACCCGACCCCACGCTGTTCAGATAACGAAATGCATTCTGGGAAGGTTCATTTGGACGTATTCTAAAGTATACTCTAAACCCCAGGTTTGGCACTCAGCAAATACAATATCTTCTGCATGGTAATATGCCACTGTGATCTCAGGGGTTATTTGAAAATGAAGAACCGAAAGATGCGGGCAAATGCTGGCTCAGGCACATGCCTTTTTTTAAAGACAACATTTCAAAGCTTGTAAAAAAATACAATACATATCATCCGTGTATGATGAAGATTACATCATTAAGTCGAATAATAAAGTAAAAAAGAAGTTTTGGGATGTATGAAGTAAACCACTTTATTGACATATATTTTTATATTTATAACCATTGAATATTGAATAGTGAAGTTTTATCTATAGTCAAAGATATAACTGACCAGTGGTTTTTCCAAACAGCCCTTTTATATTTTTCTTATATTAAAACTAAAATGGCTGGTTAGGGTGAATGAGCAACTTGTTTGTTGCACTTGAATTTGACAGTTTCCTCGTCTTCTTTTAGGTAGATAACAGTAGTAACATAGCCTTCAGACGCTTTCTTGTCCATACATTTTGCATTATGAGTCACTATTTCCTAGAACAAAATACACTTATTACACATGCGGCATATCGGTAATTTTATTTCTAAATTTAGTAATTAAATTATTTTATCAATTTTATACTGTATTGCTATAGTTATATTAGACTCTTAAACATGATGGATGGAACGTGAAAAAAACTGTATACTAGATGGTCACTATAGAACATAGTGATAGTGAGAACCGACCCTCAAATAAAGGCCTCGGGTACGATACGAGCGGCGAGCGGTGAGCGGCAAGCGGCGAGCGGCAACCTGGGCGGCACGTGAGCGGCGGTGGTGGCTACGATACAAGTGGCACATTTATAACGCTCATCAAGTTTCCCATGAGTTAGTTTAGTTTAAAATGGTAAACTATGCTTACCTGCAAGACGTATTGCAGCTTTTGTTGCTATCTGACAATTGTTTGCCTTTAAAGAAAAACTTAGTTTTTAGAAAAACCTTAACCCTAATTTTTTTCCATACTTTTCTGGTGACTGAAGTGTTTTAAAACTTCCTTGCTGGTCATTCCACAAACATTACCTGGACTGCACCTCACGTATCGACTCGTATCGCATGTTTGCTGCTGTTTCCCTATCATTTTAGGCCGACCACATGAGCGGCGAGCGGCGTTTTCGCGAAAATCGGTTTTGACTTGGAACCATGAGCGGCGCTGAGCTCAGACGTATCGTGGCCACCCTCAACAAATTTACACGCAACTAAATGAGACCCGATGTCAGAGCGGCGCCGCTCATGCCGCTCGCCGCTCGTATCGTACCCGGGGCCTAATACAGTTTTGAGTTTGAGTTTGGCCAGCCTGTAATTTAAAAGGAAGTAAGGAACCTTGGGTTTTGTGAGCTGCTTTGTAAAACAAATGTAGACTGACAGAGTTAAACATCTTGAAAACTTAATAACTTAAATCTTGAATTTAAGATTTTAGGCTACTAAATTATTTTTTAGATTAGACTGTTATTTTCATTTAGATAGATTTATATAAAATTTGGTAACATGTAAACCTAAATTTATTCGAATGAGGTCGTTTAACAGTATGATCGGACATGTGACTATGGGAATGGGTGCTTATGAGGGGTTGTATAGAATAATATTGGTTTTTAAATTTTCACCTCAAATTTTTTCCTTAAACTGTTTTGTGGAGCTTAAAAAAGAAATAATTTACTACGTTAAAATGATGTTTGCCAATCGGTTACGGGAAAAATTCCAAAAAAAGTGTTAATTAAACATGAAAATGTTATTCTTATGGAGAATAGATAAAATGTTGTAATTTACTTGTTTATGGATATATTTTATTGAAATTAAGATTTTTTTAAATTTCATACTAAGCGATCAATATTTTATTAAAAAGTTCCACCTTATTATCTTCCCTGTATCAAAAAACCTGGTTAAAATTAAATTAATGTTATTTAAATAGGAAATTAATCTAACATTTTTTCGAAATATTTTAACAGAAATCTAGCCAGGTAAGTGGAAATTCGCTTAGTGTTTAGGTTTGCTGCGGTGGAAGGATTTATGCAAGCCTACGGTTTATGTTCAATAAATGAATTGGTGTAAATGCTTCCTTGCAATCCAAAATGTTGCTAATATTAAAAGAACGAACTTAAAAGTTACAGTTTTATTAGTTTTTATTTGTTTTTATGTAAAGTTTGAATGTCTGTGTTCATGTAAGTGTGTCTATGTAGGCCTACTTTAAGTGAATTGATGGCCTTCTGATCAGGTCCTATGACGCGTGAAGATGATTTCGTTGAAATTCTAAACTAGTTGCGAAATTAGCAACATTTTAGACTACAAAGAAGCAGGTTTAGTAATTCATAAATTTTGTGACAATGTCAAAGGGTGCGAAAAACGGATTTCCGTTAGAATATATACCAAGATTACGACTTAAAAAAGTGTAAGGTAATTTGTTTTGGAAGTATTTTCTTACTTTGACATCAGCACAGGGCCAAAATACTATTACTGGGTGCGGATGATCGTTTGGCTCATTGAGAACACTCATTCCTTCGGTGAACACTCCAAACCCATTCATCTCTCCGTTATCACCATAGAAACAGTAGAACCCGTGGACTCTACTGCATGTAGTTTTATCTTCTAGGCTGTAGAAATAGTAGTGACCTGGCAAAATTCATAGATAATATTAGTAGATTTTTCATAACACTTCTATGGTCATATCAGGTCAGTAGAGTAGATTTTTGTGTAGAAAGAATAGTTACATTTTGTTGAGAATTGACAATGAACAATTTGAAAACAACAATGTAATAATAAGTCATGATGGGCAAAGCGTCGTCCTGTAATTTAGCTACTAGGAGGTTACGAATTGTGGATATAAAATATAGGCGTGCACTGTGGATGCAATACTCCCTGGTGTGGATTAACGTCCGCACTAGTGAGTACTATAACGATCCACGGTACAATACCGATAATTATACCAATTCGTTATTTACAAGGCGAAAATGTGGTTCGGATTCCGCTATAAACTGTAGGTCCCTTAGTTGTCAATGGCTGTATGGGCTATTAATTAACAGCTGTGTCTAAGTAACATGTCGGCCTTAGTCACTAACAAGACTACGAGATATCGCCACTCATTCTACGCCAATTCATACTTAGCTTAAAATGCCTACTTTGTATGGTCACCATTTCATAAGAATTCATTAAACTATTAAAGGAAAACAACTGTGTAAATAAATTAAAAATTGTATTTTTCCAAGTCTGTACACTGTAGAAACTTCTCTAAGACATTCTCTAAAGGTGTATCACTGTTGTTTTCATAGCTTACTTAGTAACGTTAAGATATGGGTTTCTAAGAAGATTCTTAAGAAGCAATTTTATTAAGCATTTTAACCTTAAAACATCTTGGGACACAGGGTAAACCGGTTTTCCTAGAATTAATATTTTTCATCAGCACCTCTATTTTAGCCAACAGATGTAAGATTTTGATTTGTCTAGGCATACAAAGCTTTTGGGAATTACTAATTAGCAAACGTATTTATTTTAAATCATGCTATTGCCCTTAGGTTTTTCAGAACTTAAAAAACAACCACAGCAATAATATTGTAGTATTGTCATATTTATGTTATAAGCAAACATTGGTCATTAGAATAATGTTTACGTAAACAGGTAAAATACGATAGAGCACATTTTTGTGCACACCACATAACTATAAATTATTATAATTAATTTAATCAAAGGAATTGAGCTATAAATTTATATCTATTTTGTAAGTAAAACAACCTTTTTTACATCGTGTGGCCTGATCCCGGAGGAGTGTGATAAAAAAATTATCCAGCTTTTTTATGAAAATTTAATTAATTAGGGAAACTTACCAAACCTATTCTTGCAGCCTTGTTTTTTCATTCTTGGTTCAACATTTTGAATTCCATTCTCGAAAATGGAAACTTTATGCCAATCTCCATTTTTTGTTCCTTCAAAATGTATGAATTTAGTGAAACAGATTGGTGTCGCTTCTTGCTTTAGTTCATCTAAAAAAATGTTTATCGTTAATGTTTTTAAGCTCGTTTCAATTTATTATCAGCAGTGCGGGATCAAATAAGCGTAAAAAATGTGTGTTAAATAAAAGTTTAATATTATAAGTAATTACTGAAGCGTGTAAGGTATGTGATTATTAATAATGCCTCCTCATACCTCCTCATAACCGAAACATATAAACACTTTTATTTCAACAAGTCAAATCATCATGTAGTCTCTACACTTGATTTACTGATATTATGTCATCTTTAAACCTATTCAATTTATACTATTGTGTTGTTATTTATTGTTCACATAAAATATGTTTTAACATCATTTAACATTATAAATTTCCGTCTGTTTGTGTCAATACTTGAATTTTAAATTGTTGGAGCCAGCTTAGGTTCAAGAACTTAAATTATATAAGTCATTATCTTATTACCATTGTTTTTGAGAAGTAGTTTGTGTTCGCCCTACAGACATTTTGCTAGCTTTGGAATTTTCAAATTAATCCAAGACATTGACACTGACAAAACGGGAAAACAGCGTATACCGCCGACCCCACAGAGACCAAAGATAAGCCCAAAATTAACCTGGAAAGCTCCTAACCCCAGCCGTCAAAAACCCCGATTTTTTTACACCTTCAGTCCAATAAACGAAACTGAGGGAAAACTCCTCACTCCAACATAACTCTACCGTGCTTCCGTCGTCGCGTTACTTGCTCGTCCAACAGCGATAAAAGTTTGTAAATATAAATAGTCAATAGTGCTAGTGTTAGTGTGATATTATAAGAACACATCCTGAAGATGCTACACAAACTGGCGAAATGTGTGTAGGGTAATATTAAATACTACTCAGAAACACATGCAACAAGAAAGGTAACAGCTACATCATGCTTGGATACAAAGGCGCCCCCAGAAAATTGTACAGGGGGGGGGTGACTTTTCGTGGGGGTCTGCGGGTCCTCAAGTTGTATGGGTCGAGCCAGGCCCCAACAAATTACTTCGAGTCATAAAGCAGTCCAAACTCTGGTCAACGTGTTTATTAAATGTTTGATTTTCATGTCAAGTTATCATTCTTGCGATTGCAGAAAATGTCTGAAAAGATTGCTTGATCGTATTCATTGATTTAGGGGTCCCCTAAAAAGTTAATATTGCTACAAAAACGTTTATTATTGTTATATGTGTTAATTTTTATGTATTCCTTCAAATAGTGATATTAAATATCAATATTAGAAAACATCTGTTTTAGTGATTTTTTTTACTGCCGCCGTGCATAAAATCACCCTAATCTAATCTCTGATGGCTCCTGTCTTATTTACCTGGATTTACAAAGAGAACCATTGCGTATCCTATATTCTTCTGGTCCACAGTCACTGTATGTTTGAACATGTATCCATTTCCGAAAGTACTTGACCAACTGAAAAAGCTAGGATCTGAGTCTGCTGCGTGCTGAAAATATATTTATTTTTACCAAACAAATAATGAAATACCCTTACTACATATAATATACAGACAAAGCGAATTTACATACACCTGATTGGGGTTTTAATCAAATTAATTTAGATAACATTAGGCTTTAATACTGTTAATACTTTTCATTGACATGGCGACCATTTTAAGCCAAGTATGAATGGAGATGAGTGTAGGATGAGTGGCGCGATCTGTTAGTCTTGTTAGTGACTAAGGCCGACATATTTCATCGACACAGATGTTATTTAATAGTCCAAACAGCTAATAAGGGACGTACAGTTTATTGTGAAATCCGAACCACATTTTTGCCTTTATATTAACGAATTTGTCTAATTATCAGAGTAGTACTGCGGATAGTCGTAGTACTCACTAGTGGCTTAACTATAATAGCCTAATATAAAATCAATACATTTGCAAAGTTTGATTAAAATTTACCCATAAACAAGCAAATTATAACAGATAACATGTTTTCAATGAGAATTTTAAGTTAACATATTTTTTTTAATTTTCTCCTTGGCCAATAACCGTAAAAAGATACACTAAATTAGTTGTTCTTTAAGCTCTTTAAAATGGTTGAAAAAGAAATTGGCAGGTAATTAATTATGGTCAACATTGAGAAAATCCTAATTTTACCCAATAAAAACTCCTATAAACCCCCGTTTCCATGGTCCAATAAGCTGTATTGCCCTCTCATTTAAGTCTGTCCTGATCTACACCTCCAAACCTAATTTCATCAAAATCGGACAAAGTACTCTTTTATCGTGTTCAGGAACTTATATGCCCTATACGTGCATATACGTGGGTGATTGATATAAGTGCGCCAGCTGTTTTATCCTAAAGTTATAAGAGATTTCAACAAATGTTAAATTGCAACTGCCTTGGATTTTTCATTTAAAAAGTTTTGGTTCAGTTAAAAACATAATTTTAGCCGCCATTTTTCCAATATGGCAGACAACTTAAATTTTTCTTAAGGAATACCCTATATTTTATGAGTTTTTTTTTAAAGGGAAATTCACCCGAATTAAAAATAATAAAAAACCCGAAATAAAACCCGAAACCAAAATGTTTTACAGGAGATTATACAAATTTCAAGATATCAACTAGCTCGACTCAACTAGTCCTACTGTATATACAAATGGGTGAATCAAGTATGGTGTTCACTATTTATTTCAGACTAACCGTTGATCCTACAGTGATAAATTAAACATTTTTCGTACTAAAACAACCCAAAGGAATAATTTAAAAATATTTGTCATGTTTTTTTTAACAGATTGTACCAAAACCAGAGGTTCACTTATGACTAGTTTGAAAAAGGTTTTCTTACCACAAGTCCAACTCCCACAAGTTTATTACCATAGAAGAGTATGAAGAAGTTGTTGACGTTTGTGTACCGGTATATTTCCAAATTGTAAGTCGAATCGCGCCCAACACTTTGCCATCCCTCATCCATTGCAACGTTTGTAGTTATTGGTAAGGTCGTTCGTTTCCACAAAAATCTTTGTAAGACTGTAAATGAAAATCTTAGGTAAAACACGTTAGAATATAAATAAATAAATTAAGGGTTATGAAATAATATTAATATATAATAAATACACAACAAAAATCAGAATTACGATGTAAAAATCTGCAGTGAAAATTATCAGAGGCTTAGTGAAGAACAAGATTGCTGTCTAACTATGTTTACAACTTGATCGTTCTAATAATACTTTCTACTCACTATTATCCGTTATAGATTGTAAAATTTTTTCTTAAAACACAGGCTTATGCCATTTTTAATGCTAGGTAACTAATTTTCACGATTTATTTCATAGATTAGCTCAATAAGCTATAAGCAAAGCTCAGAGCAAAATATTACAACGTTTCAATTTTCTTTCAACCCTGAAAAAAGTGTAAAACCTGTGCTTCGTTTTAATTGTATCATCAATTTCAAAATGCTCAAACTTAGTTAGATTCTAAGTAAGATAATTATTAGACCTATATGCCATTATTATACTGTCAACAATCGCTTAGTAATTGATTGGCATTAATTAATATGGTATCTAACAATAAGATACATCAACAATAAGGGGCAACTGTAGCATTCTAAGAGGCAGAATCACAGTACTTTCGAATACACTTTCAACCTGATTCATCTATAATGAGAGTAAAATGTTCTGATATTGTAAAGAAATTAAAAAATTGTGAAAGTAGTTAAACACTGCAAAGTGACCATTCATTGAAAAGCTGCCTTTATATTTTAAATAATAAAAAGTCCCAGGATATATCTATATAAATTCCTAACTCCCTCTACACTCGAGCCTAACCGCTCCACTATGTTTTCATCCGTAGACATCCTATCTATATGGACCAGCTGTAACAATCTTTTATTATAATTAGATCACATAAGTGACTCAAAGAGTAAGATATTGTACACATATTATCATTGATCTTTTATTTGACATTAACAGAACAATAATTATTGAAAATGCACTTGTCATAAGAATGGTGCTAACAATAAGGCTTGGCTTTCTTAAAAGTTAGCAGAACAACAGAAATCAACAAGTGACGTCGAATCATTCCATCAGTGGTCTACTCTAACTAAGAATTTTGATTCTGAAACTGGATTCAACTTTAAATTGAAAAGTCTATTCTAAGTATAGTCAAAGTTGGACACACACAGTTGCACAACATATTTGACTAGCTAGATATAAAACATATGTTTTAGCCAGTTGTCTCGTTTTATTTCTCTCTTGACTGTTCTCGTTGCTTTATAGTGAAACATTTCTAATTTATTCTACAGTGAAACAATTCTGCTTCTTCTATAACTTGATCTGTTTTGTTTTGGATATTCTATTTTTAATTTATTATACTGGTAAATCTATTTGACATTTTAATTTTACACTGGCCAAAAAAAATATTGTAGGCTTGCTCTGTGAGTTGACTGCCAAAATTTGGAAATTGAAAATATCAAAATGTATATTGACACTATTATGGTTCTATAAAGATTGTGTTACTTCTGACAACTAAAACATATACCTATATCAAGAGGAAAATTTTTAATAAAAAAAATTTAAATAAAAAATATTAGCAGGCAGACTGAATATCACAGTAATTTTAATTTAAGGTACTATATATACCATACAAAGAAAATATGGCAGTCAAATGTGTCTTAGTTTCTAGGTTAATCAACATTCATGATTAAGAATGCAAGACTTACCCTCAATTGTTGAAAATTCAAATTGTTCACACGCTGGAAAAAATTAAATTAATAATCTTAAAAGGGATTTTAATTTAACCTACTTATGTTGTACTGCAAAAATGGTCTACTTTTTGGACCTTGGTTTATTAGAATAGTCAATTTTAACGGCTTTAACGGGACAATTAATTATCATAAAAGCATTGTGAAAGGTTTTTTGAGAAAAAGTGAGAATGCCATATCATAATTAGATATGAGATAAATATCAGACCAATCGACTTTGGTCGATCATTCAAATTCAGAACAAACATAATATTAGAGCTTAAACCAAAAAACAAATTAAACAGCATTATAAATGGTTAAGGTCTTCGTAAACCATTCACAAAGCTGTTAAATATGTTTTTGGTTTAAGCTCCAATAATACGTTTGTTCTGAAGATCACAAGATATATTAAATGGTGATTTATTTTTTATTGGAAGCTAAATCAGATGATTTATTTTTGTCAGCAAAGTGACAGTTTCAACTTAAGTACCAGTATTTACAGTTATAATGTGTAAGAGGGCGTTATACCTAGTTGGATTATTGTTGACACAGTACAAGTTCAATGAACTTAATATATTTAAAAGGTCATAAATTCAGTGTTGTGTTGTAGTATATTGACATCAAATTCACCTCAGACTGTCAAATAACTGGTCGGCTATTTTTGCGGGTACTTAAGTATTGTACAGGCAAAGATCAAATGAATAATTTAAAGAGTTTAAAGGTTAAGTACTATTGAAATTAAATCCCAAAATTGACTTACCTTTTACTGGCGTCAGTGAAAAATACAGCGCTACCGTGAAAATGAACCACATGTTAAAAGTAATATAATCCACTTCTTAAATATCAGTCAATGTAATGCAACACACTGTGCAGTCAAATGGCATTTTAAACGGTATGTGTTACAACCACAGCTGTGTTAATATCTACGGTTAACTAATTACAAACATGAACTCATAATATGTATGTAGGCCTAGAATATGTGTTAAATTGTTTGTGAAGAACATTTCACAGTACCTCTAATGTTTTATCTATATTGAAATCTAATCTAATCTACTATAACATATATTTTTGTATGTTTTTAAATCTATCTAATTTCTAAAGTGCTTTTTATCGGTACGCCATAACTTTCTTATTTTTTAACCAATTTCCACAAATGAGGTGTCATTTTAAACCTTTTTTACCCAATACAAAAATATACCAATCGCTTGTTTTTCGGTAGTTTTTCGTTCCTTGTCATTTGTGTTTACTACATCCATGACCACCAAAATATTTAGTCTGTGCTTTCTGCAATAAATAACCTTAAAGATGAAACCAGATTATGCATTTAAAGAAGTCTAAACAAGAACAACACAAAAGTAAGTACCAAATGGATTATTTGGTTTTTATAGTTCGTTAATTTCGACATAACCTTTATTTCATAATAGGTACCCACGAATTCCATCTTCAAACATCACCTATTATCTTTTCTTTATTACAGGTTTCAAAGAATGGTTATGTTGTGTCAAATTTGTTACCGCCAGGAAACGGTTTATACCAGTTTTGTTCGGTTCTTTACCAATCGAAGTAGCACGCTCTGTTGTATCCATTAGAGTGTTTGAACTCATTAAGTCCTTTAGGTTCGTCACTTCAAAAACCCATGGCAAAAAGAACTCAATTATCGTGTTGATGAAAAACCTAAGCACGATCCAAGATTGGCTGTAGCTTTCTTAGGCAGCTACACTATCAAAGTGAAGTTGGGTGACTCCGGTCAAACTGTCATACTACGCTTTAGTCTGTAATCCTTTTTAAACTGACCAAGAAGGAATTTTCCCTAAAAGTTACCTTTGCCATGACTTTAAATAAGGCACATAGACAGACGCTAACGAAGGAAGGATTGTACGTGCCAGACCCCTTTTTTTACACATTCAGTTCTTTGTGGCTTTGTCAAGTGTACTCGTACTTATTCAGCAAAAACTATCCGTCAACAAAAATCGTGTATGGCCATACTATTACTTCAAACATAGTGGTCCTGTAAATATGTGAATACGTAAATGCCTTAGGATTTTATTTGGAAAAGTTAATCATATAAAATATAGACCCACGTCTATTCCTGCAAAATTGTCAACTCCGGAGGACGATTTGCACAGTTGTCTCTGGTATTTAATAATTAAATCAACCGCATTGAAGCGAGCACGCGACCACTAAAGCGGTAGATTGTTATTTCAATACTTCGGTACTGTATTTCATAACTCTCCGGAAACTGCGATGATTTCATCTGATAGAGATTTCAAAATTGAAAATTTAAATACTCATTGCATTCGTGTACATATCGTGTGCATATGTTTTGGCCTACCAAAGCATTAAAAAAGCTTTATAAAAACTATTATTAATACACTGTTATTAGAGAAAATCAAATACCTCTGGCGAAGTCCACAGTCTGGTCAAATCTCTTTATTGGATGTGTTTTTAAATGCTTACATGGGGAAGATTTCACGTAAATATAGACTTGTATGCCTAACAACACTCGCCAATAGAAAAATAAAAATGGAACTGTTAACGCGACACCATGTATTGTTGACACGTGTAAAACATAGAACATAAACGTTACACAATTAAATGACCACTAGAATGATTAGGTTGTCACTTTTAGAACAGTTTCCAAGAAAGTAAAAGGTGATAAAATTAAAGAGTTGTGAACAGTTCACGATTTTGTGAACACATAGTTATTCAATTTAGCAAAAGTGTTTTTACCAAACAAAGTTTACACTATTTTTTTTAAGTATCAAATACGAAATTCAACTTTTTTTAGTTGAAGAATTTTAATGAACTGTCAATGTATTACTGGATTAGTATTAATTTCACGTTTAATGTATTTTTTATCACTTCGAAAATAGCCCATTTCCATACAGCTGAGATCTTAGAAAATATTCAATTTCCATACACGAAAAACAAATAATGATCAGCTGACTTTTCCTTACATGAACATTACTTTCGCTACACAAACAATACTTTTCCTGACATCAAAAAAGTTACAATTGTAGTTTTTTTATTGTTTTAAGTTGGATGAAGTAGTTTTTACGGGGCTCGATAGTAGTGAAATATACTATTTCCAGTACGGTGTAGTAATGAGCTAAAAACTAAAATTCGTGAACATTGGCTTTAGCCATTGACCATTCATGGAGTGTCAGTGTATCGTCAATGACACAAAGGAATTTAAGTGTTTGAACTATATTTTAAAAGGGGTCGGGTTTTTATGAACAAACATATTCATTTTACTACCCTATAACTGCTTGGGACAAAAATTACAGGGATTTACACCAAATATGCAGTTTGAAGTAATATAGTCCACAAGGTGTATATTTGTCCCGGGTCCAAACTATTAGTATTCTGGTGAAGAATAGTTTCTGCTGTTGGGTCAAGAACGTAACGAACCACGTCGCTGCACCAACAGTTGCTACGATGTCGAGCGAAATTGGAACTTCAGCATCTTCCGTTTGTTTATATGAAACGTAGGTCACACCTCACTATGAGGTAAACATTTCAAAAGTGACTGTGCATATTTTTATTGTTTGGAAATCGTTCGTGAAAATCCAAACTAGGGCTAAAATTATCTTAAGAAATATGTTCATAAAATGTTGTGGAGTGCTAAGCTCTACATAGAGAAAGGATAGACCTTTTAGCAGGAAGTATCTTAAAATGCAACATTTATCTCAAATCTAAGTGTGTATAACGTAACTATGTATTACGGCAATGACATAGGTGTTATCAGTTAATTACACTTGAAAACTGTAGATTTATTTCAAAGAATAATATAAGTTTCACTTAAACATGATTTTGCTGAAGAACGTGTGTTTTCAAGACACGTAGCCAAGTATAAAATCCAATTTGATAACGAACCTTGGGCTGTTAGTTTTTGGTTTCTCTGTAGAACAGAAAAGTCAACACGGAACCCTGATTGATGCCACTTCTGGGCACACAATCCTACGTGGGTAAAATATCTGGTTTTCACTTTCACCTTATTACATATTGACTCTATGGGAGTAAATATTATAAAATATTACGTAAATAATGCGTTTCTCTTAATTAAAAGGAATGATTATATTTAGAGGGATACAAACAAAAATATTTCTTACAAATAAATGATCTCTGTTAAATCTAACAACGCAACCCGATTAATAGGGGTTTTTTGTTTCTATTTGGGACGTTAACATCTGAACCTATGATGTTTTAAACTAAATAAGCTAGTAAAATCATTAAGAAATCAAATTATTGTTCAACTTTTTATTATAATAAGACGTATTTTCAGGACTGGTTTATCTTTTGGTGAAAAAATCTTATATCACAATATACCATGCTAAAAACAAAATGTTTTCAAAAGTCCAGGTTATAGTACAATATTAGATTATATGATCAAAGAATATGCCATTATACTAATTTATAAGTAAATGATAAACCGTTATTTGGAGAACAACATAAGAAGGAATAGAGGGTTCCTTTTTACACAATATTTCATTTTTGCAAATTATTTTTAATTTGAGGTCCAAGGAAGTCCAATTATTTTTTTAAAGACATAAATGCAACTTGTTTTGATTGTTGAGATGTGAATTTCAATGCATGCCTATTATATTTTTATATTTATTTTAGTAGAGAGCATCTTTAAACAAAAACACAAAATTAAAACAAAGAAAGGGATTTTAAGAGTGTCTCTACCTTTTCAAGAAGCATCTTTATTTTCATTTCTTTGAAATTATTATAAAGTAGGCTCTGCTTTTACCTGATAATTGAGTCCTTTTATTTAGCAACTGTGACACACTCTGAGCAACTTGAAGTGCGTTTGTTCCTAAACTGGCTGCATTTGAAACTAGTTTGAACAGTGTTAGTGCTTTTAAAGTCTACTAATTAACTATGGGTTTCAGTTGTCAATCAATTTTAGAAAGTGTTGCATTAGCTTAGAGCCATATAACAAATGGTTCACAAAGGTTTTGGAAAACTAAATAACTTATTACCTAGAATATATAAAATGAACTGTTACTAATTATAACTACTAAACTTTAAAATGATAATAGTTTTAAATACTTAACTACTTTAAATCAATAACCGGGGTTAAGACAAAGTGGTCTAGAATTTAATTAATCAACTCCAGTTGTTTTATTTCTTTCAAAGAATTTCAATCAGTAACCCACAGCACAACCACTAACATTAATTTCATCGTCTGATTAAATGTTTTCTGGGATTGAAATTTTGAAATACATTTCTGTTTGTTATGAGAAGTATAAAGAATGTCAATAAAACATTCTATTTAACAAAATTACAAAGTATTTTCCATTATTCTTTTTCTTATTATACAGCTTAAAAGGACTCGCCTTGTAAGATAAAGTTAAACTAACTATTTCCTTCATAGTTATACAAATGTATTAACGTTTGTGTAATACATAAATGAAAATTTACGTTATACATGGAATAAATTAAAAAAGTATCTGCACGTAAGTATTTAACAGTGTTTTAAGGTTTCCTAAAAAAATATACAGAGCAAACCTATTGCAGCTCTAGCAATCGTAAAGCAGAACTCCCAATTCTTTGGATCGTGTTCTAAGAAATCCAACTAGTTTACAGACAGGAAATCAAAGACTCCTTTTATAAAAAAACTATTATTTACAACTAAAATTTATACATTTTACAGTCGGTTTGGTTAGAATTCTATAGCACTCATGACATTTTATAAATTAATAACAATTGTTAATCTTGTAAAGTTATAAATTTCTCACTTAACTTCCGAAAGACATGTGAAGTAATTTGGCACCTGATAGAGCAATTACACTCGGCCCAGAGCCAGACAAAGACAAGTAATCCTGGACTCCAATATCTCAGCTACAACTTGGCTGATCACAGAAGATTGACCTCGTCAT